CATACGAATTTTTTAATTGGCGCAAATTATTTAACCTGATTAATGCGCCACCAACCTGGCACACATTCAAGAATTGCGGGGAATTGCTCAAAATTCTTCTCTACCTCCTAATCTTGTTCAATGGTCTGATGAACATTTCTTAGCTTTAAAAAATTCACTTCAAAATTGTCTCCCTTTAATTCGTTATTTTCAAATCTCCGGTGAAGATGTCTATGATAAATTCGGCCTTATCAAAAAATCCCTGAACCAACTTTATGGGCAGATATCATGCTAAAATTTATGGCACCAAATAAGATTATTGCTATTACTTCACATGTTTTACCACCTCGCACTAATCTGCCTATAACACTACCTTCACGAGATAGCATTCCTATTGATGAATCAAATAAAGCACTAGAATTAAGAAAAAGCAGTGAAACTCATCGTATTATGGGTAGATCTAAAGAGTCACTTGTAGACTTAACTAAATCATTGGATATTGGACCAAATAATGCATTTGCACTGAAAAATCGTGGAGTCACTTATTATAAAATGAAAAAATATGATAAATCACTTACAGATTTAAACAAATCATTAGAAATTGAACCGGATGATGCATTTGTATTAAAAGGTCGTGGAGAAACTTATTACATGATGGATAGATATGATGAATCACTTGCAGATTTAAACAAATCATTAGAAATTGAACCAAATAATGCACTTGCATTAATAGGTCGTGGAAAAACTTATTTCGTGATGAATAAATATGAAGAATCATTTACAGATTTAAACAAGTCATTAGAAATCGAACCAAATAATGCACTTGCATTAAAAGGTCGTGGAAAAACTTATTACATGATGGATAGATATGATGAATCACTTGCAGATTTAAATAAATCATTAGAAATTGAACCAAATAATGCATTTACATTAAGAAGGCGTGGATTAACTTATCGTGAGATGAATAAATATGAAGAATCACTTGCAGATTTAAATAAATCATTAGAAATTAAACCGAATAATGCATTTACATTAAGAAATCGTGGAGTAACTTATCATGAGATGAATAAATATGAAGAATCACTTGCAGATTTCAATAAATCATTAGAAATTGAACCAAATAATGCATTTACATTAAGAACTCGTGGAGAAATTTATCTCCTGATGGAAAGATATGAAGAATCACTTGCAGATTTAAATAAATCATTAGAAATTGAACCAAATAATGCATTTACATTAAGAAGTCGTGGATTAACTTATGGCTCGATGAATAAATATGAAGAATCACTTGCAGATTTAAATAAATCATTAGAAATTAAACCGAATGATGCATTTACATTAAGAAGTCGTGGATTAATTTATGGCTCGATGAATAAATATGAAGAATCACTTGCAGATTTAAATAAATCATTAGAAATTAAACCGAATGATGTATTTACATTAAGAAATCTTGGAGTAACTTATCGTGAGATGAATAAATATGAAGAATCACTTGCAGATTTAGATAAATCATTAGAGATTGAACCAGATGACGCATTAGCATTAAGAAACCGTGGAGTAACTTACCGAATGATGGGAAAATATGAGATTGAACCAAATAATGCGTGGGCATTGAACCAACGTAAATTAACGATCAATAAAGTAAAAAAATGAACGAATTTTCAAATTTGTATAAAAAAAAATAAACTAACACGTAATATATTAAATAAAAACACTTAACAGAAAAAGATCGTCAGTCACTCTGCAGTGTACCAGTGCCGGGTGCCTGATAAAGGAATATTAGACTTTGAAAAAGAAAGAAACTAGACCGAACACGGTGACAATAGCAAGGGCAAAAGCCCTTGAAAAGAAGGATGACAAACTCAGGAAAGGTAAAAAAATGGGCCAAAATACATGACAACAGACCCAAAACCCAAGAGAAAGAGAATGAAAACTTTAGTTCTATGTTTAACCAGGAGAATATAGAAACGCATAAAAATAATTTACAAGAAGCTCTAACAGACTTGACAAATGCTCCTATGAATTGGGAAGAGGCCGTAGAGACTACATATGGTAAGGAGGAGGCGTTACCTCAAAAAGTTATAACTAAAGACTCGGCTTTACTCACAAGTGATGGATCGAAAAATTCTACGGGAGATTGGACAGAAAGTTCCAGAACAAATCTGGATGCATCGATGATCGATAGTGAATCAGGTGATTCCAAAGGTACTGTAGAAACGGACCTAGAGACAATGCGTATAGAGGATGAAAAAAGCAACAAGGAGCAGGAGATTAAATCTCCAATGAAACAATGGACTAGCCTTTTCACAAGAATGCAAAGGGGGAAAGCCACATATACTGTGGTTCCACCCAGAGATCGAATTAACTCCAAGAATAAAAATGGAGTATTAAAAGTTTAATCAATATACCATTAAATGAGATTATACTTGCTTTGTATAGCCAGTTGGGAGATGAGTTTGTAGCAGAAAAGCCTCATTTTGTAAGAGGGCAAAGAATCTATCTGGAAATAATTTTTAAGAATGAAGAGAGTACATGCAAGTATGCAGCAGAAGGAGTAACAATCTTCAAGCAAATGCTTTTGGGTTATATTCCCACCAATCTACAAAGATCAATATTCTCAGTCAAACTGCATAATGTACTACTAGGAGAAAGAGATTTTATTTCTAAACAGATTAAAGATGCAATGGAAGACTTCAGAACTATTGTCTCAATTAAGTCTCTCATGTATAAGGGTACTCCAATCCTAACTAATCAGTGGATTGTTGTGTATGACACTATGAATGATCTGAAAAGCTTTCTTGTCACACACATATATATGATCAAAAAGTCTCAATTGAGTAGAAAGCAGCCCCAAAAAATATGTTTTTATTGTGACCTCGAAGGACACATAAAGGCAGACTATATGCAATTTAAAGAGCCAGTAGAATTAAGAAAGCAGTATAGAGAATACAAAGAAAGTAAACTTAATCAAAAAGCATCTAAAAAAGTGGCTAATATAGATGAGAAGACCATGCATATGAATGATATCACTCCTAATGAAACTGTGTATATACATGATAGCACTTGTAATGAGATTAATATAGTAAAAGAGAAACAGAATAAGATTGAGGAGATAACTACTAAAAAAAAGACAGAGTTAGCACTAATAGAAAATATAGAAGTCATTGCGAAAATAGCAAAAGAAAGTTCACCCCAAGAAAGAGATCAAATTATGCAAGAAGTAATTACTTAAGCAGAACTACAAAATCTACTAATAATTACTTCAAGTAATTAACTAGAAGATAAGGAATTGAATAATCTCTTAGAGGATGATTTCACACTGGTGGCACATAAAAAAAAAAAACACAAGATTATTAGCAGGAACAAATTCGGTTCATGATAGAAATAATCTATGCAAGAAAGGGGTAAACAGTGGAGATTACAGTACCTCCAACCGTGGAAGTAATAACCTTAATAAGTACTAGCTATAATTTTTTATTTTTATATTATGAATAAAAACAAATTTATAATAGCTACATTAAATATTAAAAGACTTAATAATCGATATAAATGCACAAAGACATTTACTTTATTAAAGTCGTATAATATAGAATTGATATTAATTCAAGAAATGAACCTTAATAACTTAAAGACTCTCAACTTTATTAAAAAGCAATAGCCATTTGAATTGTTTTAGATAGCAAAAACTGTGATTTTAGCAGGTAGACACTATGTTGAATTAAGAAATATGAAGGAAAGTTTCGATATAAGAGTAATAACAGATACTGCAAGAATTAGACAACATACTGTTAAAATAACAAACATTTATGCATCTCTTCACATATCAGAGAAAACAAGATTTTTTGATAATTGGACTCCAGAAACTGATAAAAATATGATAAACATTATCGCAGGTGACTTTAATATAAATGTAGAGCCACAAATAAATAGAATTATTCAGGCGCCAATACACAGTGATCTCTCTGGTTCTAAGCTCCTGCGAATCATGCAAGATTATGTTGACACAGCTAAATTCAGGGCTCAACCTTTTATAACTTTTACACAAAAAACAAGAAACAATCAGATAATGGCAACTAGGCTTGATTATATATTTGTAGATAGCGATCATATACAATTTTGTAAAGACATGCAAACATTATTTGGAAATTCTTTAGACCACTTAATAGTCAAATTAATTTTTAACTTCCAACCTGAAATTCAACACACTTCCCATTGGAAGTTTAATGTCAGATGCCTGACAAATGATAATATTAGAAAAGACATTCAACAGAAATTGCAAAAATATACTTCTGTAGACATATGGGACCTGCTAAAAAACAGGATACAGGCAAAGATTCGCCAATACAAACTATCTTCTTTCTCAGAGAGAAGAATCAACAAGCTTCACAAGAGATTGGCAGATTTACAAGATAAAATTCTCCAGGATCCTAGTAAGGAGGAGCTAGGAGCTGTAATAGAAAAATTACAAGCAGATTTATAAGAAGAACTTACACTTCTTGCTGAAAAGTGGCAGATATAGTCAAATTCTCATTGGATTGAAGAAGAGGAGCAATCAACAAAATATTTTTTTGCTAGATACAAATCCCAACATACTGGTAGTTTTTCAACAAAAGTGTGCATTTCTAATACTTCAACAAGTTTAAACTCATTAGACAGTTTACAATATGCAAAAGAATCATATGAAAAAATGTATAAAGCAGGAGATACAGAGACAAAGATGATAGCAAAGTTCCTTACAAATTTCAGAACAATTTCAAAAAAGCAAAATGATGATTTAGTTAAAGAAATAACAAACAGTGAAATAGAAGATGTTTTAAAGGTTTTATCTAATAATAAAGCACCAGATTCAGATGAGTTGTCTTATGAATTTTATAAAGGAATAAAAGAAAAAATTATTCATATATTTAAAGAGCTCTTTAATGCAGTAATATCTAAAAGGAAAATTCTAAAGACTTGGTATAAAAGCATCATTACCTTAATTCCAAAAAAAAGAAATTTAGAGGAACTAAACAACTGGTGACCGATATCGCTTACTAACTGCGATGCCAAAATCTTTCTCAAGATTATGGCAAACAGATTAAAGAATTTGCCAAACAGTCATAGAGGTTCATTAGCAAGTTTTTATCTCAAACCGTCTAATTATAGATACTGTTCTGGATATTATCTCTGTTATGAGAAATTAAACAGATAATACTAAATAGCATTAGATGATAATCATAGATCAACAAAAAGCATTTGACAAGATCAGTCATGCTTACTTAATCGAAGTTCTAAAAAAGATGAAATTCTCCTCAACTTTTATTAATTTAGTATATCAATTATTAACAAATCAAAAAGCGCACATCATGAATTCTGGTATACTTTTCAAGCATTTTAAAGTAGAGTGTGGAGTAAGGCAAGGAGATTCACTCTCTCTGCTCTTATTTGTAATTGCCTTTGAACCACTCTTGCTAATGCTCAAAAGTAACCTCTGGGATATAAAAGTGGCTAACAAATTTTTCAAAGTAGCTGCATATGCAGATGACCTAACTATAGATATTGAATCTCTAGCAAACTGGAATATATTTCATCAGATAGTAAAAGAATATAAAAAAATATCCAACTCTAAAATTAATTACAATAAATCTACTATAATCCTACTAACAAAAAGTGCTAGAAACTTAGAACTAGAGGAAAGTAATAACTACTTATACTTAAAAGAAGATAAAACTACAGTAGTATTGGGATATAAAATTACATCACAAGGCAAAATAGACCATCACTTGTGGCAGAATGTTATACAAAGACTGAAAACAAAGGTTTAGAAGCTATCAGAATGGAATCTGTCATTTGAAAGGAAAATCATAGCAAAATCATTGATAATTTCAAAAATATAGTACGTGGCATATTTAGCTCCACCAACCTGAAAACAGTTAAATATGATCAATAGTATTCTTGAGAAGTGGATTAAAGCAAAATCTCAGATGCTCTCAAGATATTCGGTCTTTCAACTCTCAGCTACTCAAGATAGTTTGGGAGCTCCAACATTACCGGATATGATTAATATTTACTTAACACAAATATGGATAAAGCTATTAACTAAAAATAATTTGTAGGCTAAGATAGAGATAATGATAATTGAGAGTAATCTGATAGCAAAAAGGAATATTACGATCAAGGTAGCTTTAACCCAAAACCCAATTAAAGCAAAAGGGTGGCCAAAACACTGAAAACCTTATGTAAATACATAAAAGTGCACAAATGGTAAGATAGTGAATAGTGTAAGCAATTGGCCATAGGGCAAGGACAATCTTAAAATCATGAACATGTCAGAAGAGAACTTTTCAGTTAAAGGAATAGTTAAATATCTGAAGGAGACAGCATTACAAAATATAAAAAACAGTAGCCAGCTAATAGACGACTATATAAGAGATAGTTAGAAATAAATGAATACCAGGTGGGTCCCCAATATTAAAAGGAACATATACTGGCACCTGCAACATAGAGCCCTGTCTTTAGGGTACAAACTTAAACACTTCGGCACTGAAGATGCAGAGGAATGTCTGAATTGTCCTGGTATACTTCAAACTGTAGAACATTTTGAGCTTGATTGTCCAGTTAGTAAAAGAATTTGAAAAATAATACTAGAGTTGGTAAATCTCTCTATCAATATAAGAAAGCCAAATAATTTTAACTGCATGTTTTCAGATTACTACCCTGGGAATATACAATTAAAAAACTGGGTTAATATCAATACTATATATGAAATATAGTATTGGTATATACAGGAAAAATAGAGAAATCCTATTTTGCACTTGGCTCTAGAATCCATAATCAAACACAGGCTCAATAAAGCAGTAAAAACATTGCGAGTTATTGGTAAAAGAGGCAATAAAAGTATTGATAAAATTATGAGCAAACTAGCTAGAACTTCAGACTCCTAAAAATGAAGCAACAGGTTGAAGTAAAATAGTATCACCCAAATGGTGCAATAACAAAATTGTGCTAATGTAATATAAATATGTAATATATAGAATCAGAAAGTTAATAAAGTATGCCAATGACATTCTGAGATATCCTGGGTTAAAAAAAAAAAAAAAAAACACTTAATAGTTAATCGAGATGTTATGCAGATTATGGAAGAAAATTTTTTACTATGAAATTTGAGTGATCGATATCTATATGTAAAAATTCCTTTTTATAGTAAATGGAACAGTGTTCTACTTTTAATCACCAGTTTTAAGGGTTTCATAAAAGGAAATTGTACTTACAAGATATAGTGTAACAGTTTAAAAAGTCAAAAACTATTTCATGAATAAATTTAAAGCGAGATAGATAATAAAACCCAAAAGATCTTGTCTTTAAAAATAATCTTTTGTTTCATAGTACTATATAGCAGTATAATACTGTAATAGAAGATATTTTACTGATTTACTAAAGCTTTTATATGTAGTATAGTATTTTTTAATAAATTTTACTTAGATTTTAAAATTTTGCTTTGATTTTAAAGTTTTTTTTTAATAAAAGAACAAAGTACTTAAACCTCATTGCAATTTTGTATTATCTACTATAGAGAATGAACTACTGTGTTTAGTTGAAAGATTTTAAAGCAAAAATAAAACAAAACTATTATAGTATTATTATACTATTAAGATTACTTGTTGTATTGTACAAATTTATAATTTAAATCCATTAAAAAATAGGTATGAATCAAAGAATAGTTAAACACATATATGTATATATTTATTAATAAATAAAATTACATTAAATATTGTTATAATTAAATTTTTTTTATTTAATACATATATATACTTTGATAATATGATGATTAATTATAAAACAGACTAATAAAATTTAGTAATATGATATATTTTACAAGATTCTTGTATATAAATTATATGGGCTTAATAAAAATAAAATTGATAAAAAAATCTCTTATAAAAAATTAATTATCTCACAAACTATTGATCAGAATCTCATAATTTTGGTACCATTTGATTTGTCTTACCAAGATGAATCAAATAGTACCAAAATTATAGGATTTTGATCAATAGTTCATGAAATAATTAATTTTTTGTAAGAAATTTTTTTGTCAATTTTGTTTTTTTTTCTAGAACCAAGTCTATATAACTTTCTTGTTTTATATAATATCTATTGTTGTAATCATCAAAAAAATATTTGCCTAATATCTATTCTTTATATTTCTAAAATAAAAAAATAACAGTAAAAAAGAAAGTAAAATATAAAAAAAAA